CGCTATTGTTAAATTATTGTTCAGCATGTAGGTTATTATACACTGAAATTGTTACACTTATAATTATAATATTTACAAATAATGGGTTTTCTTTTTTTTTTTTTAGTTTGTTGTTTTAAGTATTTTTGCAAATTTGGAATGCTGCTATTGTATTTTTGAATGGAATATATTTATATTTTTATTAATTGTATTGTAAACATCAAAAGATTGAGTACATGGGATTTTTTTCATTTCTGCTACTGATGAATTCCGAGTTCTCTTTGGTTAGATCAGAAATAACACTGATGGTTAACTGCATGATTTCTAACAGTCCATCAATTGTTTGTTTCAATTTTTGTCTTGCAGCATTTAGTTTCTCCATGTTGGTTTTGATATTGTGAAGAATATCTTTCAAGTCTACCCGTTTGTCGATTGAAACAGGTTCATTTGTTAAGTATAACAATCCAATATTGTTAATTTAAAAAAAATATACAGATACAGAGTTTTTGTATAGAAATGAAAATATTAGAATGGTTTAGATGTTTGTTACCATCTACAGAGTTCTTTGGATTTGATGATCTGTCAAGCATATTGAGATAAGCAAAGAAAATAAATCAAGTATTTTGTAAAGGTAAAACAAATACAAATTTACTTATCCTTATATAGATATTAACATGAGAAGACGTTTCAAATAAGAATAGAATATGAACGGTTGGGAACCCAACATGTATATGTTCATACATAAAGGCATTAGTTATTAAAAACTATTTAAACGACTCTTCGTATAATGTGGAGTGTAAAAGTTAGAATATTAATAGATTTCTGTTAAAAAATAAACACAGGCATATTAAAATTTTAAAATAATACAAATACATATTGATATTGTTATGTTTTTAATTATATATAGATATATTTACTTTAAATTTAAATGGTTTGTATTTTTCTATATGTTATGGAATTAAACACATCTAAAATATTTGAGAACAAACAATTGTTCGCCAAACCACAATTATGGAAGTAGATGAAAGCAAATGTTCGAACAATATGCAATAAAACGGGTATATAATTATATATTAAATGTATAAATTCGAAAACGTTTAGAAAACTGATTAATAACTGTTGTCAATGGGTTTGCAAATTCAGTTATTAATTCAAAATTGTTTGCCAATAGTTGAATATTGCTGCGAATGAGTTATATTTTTTTAACAATAAAGTTTACATCACTTAAAATTTAACAGTTGCTATTCGAAAATGAGTTATATTTAACTGTAGTGTACTTTCCCTTCTTGTCATTCATCTCTTCATGGTATTGCTTGATTAATTGTTTGATATAATTAAACACTGCTCATTCTGTTTTTTATTAGTTACTATCATTGATGAACAATATCAATTGCTTTTATTATAGTATTTTAACGTTTGATATTGTATCTAACAAAAAATATTTAGAACATGTTATAACAAACTTTTCAACCAGTTAAACATTTGACAATGAGATAGTTGAAAAAGAATTTTATTTATTATATATGTATTGTAAACATGATTACATCACCATTTTTTACTATTAGGTATGTTTGGATGATGTAGTGGAAAGATCTTGAACTTTCTGTTTAAGAATTTTCAATTCCTCCTTGGCAGCCGAACTCTCCCGTTTATTTAGATCAGAGACAATGCCCATGCAAGAATCCATGATGTTACCCATTTTATTGGTAACATCTTTCGAATCGAGTCTTGCCGCATTTAAATCGTCCAAATTTGTCTAGACTTTGTGCAGAAGTTGCTTCAAGTTTTTCGGTTTGGCCTTTTTATTCACTGGCGAACCAACTAACAAACAAAGAAATTCATGCAATTGTATCAATTTGCAAAATATTACAAATAAAAAATTCTTTGTACTTTAATGCAGAGAAACATTATCAATGCAAACGGATTCGTTTCTTACCTTTTTGTTTTTTTATTAAGAAACTTGAAATATTTTTGTCCGCTTTCTTCTTGCCTTTATCCACCATTTTAAAAAACGTGAACAAAGCTTGAGCAAATAATTAAACTATAATAAAAATTTATATAATGATACAAATGCAGTTTTAGTAATCGTTCTATATATATATAAGCATGAAAGTATCATTTTAATGTATATGGAAACCGAAAAGTTAGAAAACAAATAGACGTATCATAATAAATAAATTGGTCGATTGAAGAATGTGCAAAAACTGTTTGGAAATTGTGAAAGACAACAGTCATTGATATTATACCAAATTTAAAACCAAATAAATGTTAACAATTTATATTTAAATTATAATCAGTATTTTTATTTATTATAAAAATAATGTTTGTTTCAAATCACTAAGGCTCCGTTTGGTTCCTTTTTGGGAATACTACTATTAGTATTCCCAATAAAATTAAACAGTAAAATTGCAAAAACTTACAATATTATCCAACTTTTTTTAAACCCTTTAAATTTGTTAATTTAATTAAATACCCTTAAATATATTTTTTAGAAATTGCAAAAACACCCCAACAACCCACATTTACCAGATTTTGGCCACCACTACTGGAAGATGGCCAGAATCTGGTAAAACGCCGCACTGGCCGGTAGTGCGCCGATCTAGCCTTTTCCGGCCAGATCCACGGTGGATCTGGCCGGAAAAGGCCAGATCTTTGGCCGTAGCCAATCGTCAACGATGGCCAACATATGGTCGTCGTTGATGGTCAACGACGACCATATGTTGGTCGTCGTTGACTAGCAAATGCGGCCAGATCTGGCCGTCAATGGCCAGATCTAGCCGTAGATCTAGCATTTTCCGTCAGAAAAGGCCATATCGGTGCACGATTGACAAGATCTAGCTGGTCATAAGTCGATACGGCAACTCCGGCCACCCTCCGGCGGTGGTGGCCGGTTGTCATATTTTTTAGGTGGGTTGGGGGTGTTTTTGTTAATTTTTATTGTTTTATTATAGGGGTGTTTAGTAAATAAATAAATATAGGGGGTATTTTTATTAATTTCCAAATCCTACATCGTAATACCCGCCCAATTCAACTTTTCTTAACTGTTTTCACAAAACTTTTCTAAAAAGTGTAAAAAAGTGAACCAAACGGAGCCTAAGTTTTTATTCGAATTTGAACTAATGTTATTGTAATGAAAGATGAAAAGAAAATCAGACAACATTTTCATAAGATATTATATTTTTTCACTAATTATTATATTTGATTAGTGGTAATCATGTTTATTTTATTTTATATTTTTCTGTGGCAATTGGATTTCAAAAATTTATAATTGTTCATATGCTAAATTGTTCAGTGAAAAGATATTTGTAATAAGAATAATTTGCAATTATTATTATACCATGTGTATTCATTAAGTTTAAAATAAAATATGTAGTTATTGTTATTCTGTTTTAAAGGAATTATTATTTAATGATAAAAAGACTACCATTATTATTTTGATTTGCAACATCATTTAGATTGATAAAATTTATATGTTGTTTAAACGTTGTTGTTCAATATGTTTATTACTTTTAAGGACATTTTATTGCTGAAGAGTATTTTTTCAGCCTGATTCAAACTCTCTAACCCTAATGTATCTATTTCTGTTTCCATCGCACCAGATTTGTTACTGTAATTTCAAGCAAATTGATAACGTTGAACAGTTTCATCAAAAATGCTATAAGTTTTTATAACTTTACAATGGTAGAATTTATTTCTTTGTTTATTTGGATATGCATTTACACACAATCTGTATAATAGAATATCCAACTCAAAATTAGTAATGAATTTCCAGATTTGAATGGTTTGTAATCGCTTTGAACTCATGATTGTCTGAAATTTGTCTTGTTGGTTTGTTGTAGTATTTGTTAATGCAAATTTTTAAAAAGGTACGAATAAATTTTTATACTATTATTTTTCTTTGCTGATGATTTTAGGCAGTTTGGAAATATTGTTTTTTTAGGTTGATTGATGATTCTATTGTTCCTTTTTTTATAAGTCATGAAGTCTGCTTTTTAAATTTTAGATATGGCTTCTGAAAAATTGTTGAAGTTTATGGATAGAGTCAAGGCCAAATTAGCGTCTAATATCGGACCAAGCATTACCACAACAATGAAGTTGATAAATCAATTATAGAGTTCTGTTTCATCTGTATCAGTGCCTAATCCTATTGTATACCCTTCTAGTTCATGTCATGTTGAAGTTATTGAAGAGAAAGATGATGCAACTGAAGAGGTTCCATTATGTAGGTTTATAAAGTGACAAAAAACATCTCAGCTAGAGAGTGAGAATATAAAGAATGAGATCGACGGAAGAATTAGATAATAAGATATCTTTTGTTGGTAATCAGGTATCATTTTTTTGGAACAATTTAATAGTTAGTTAAGTTTGCACTTTTTTTAAACGTGTCTCAATGAGATTTTATCTTCTTCCCTTGTATTTCTACAATAGGGTTTTGAACTTTGGCAAGAAGCTCGGGAGCATTGGCTGGCAACAGAGAATGTTATTTCAAAGTTGCAAAAAGAAATCAAAGTTTTGAATTCTGACAAACAAAAATTAGAAGTGAGAAAACTTTTGAAAAAGGGGGTAGATAAAGTTGAAGATGACTTGAAACATCTTCATGAAGCATTTAAATCTGCTGAACAATCTATTGAAAATCAACAAAAAGAAAAGGAAGTTGTGATAAAAAGATTGAACGAATTGTCTAATGAGAATAGAACAATCTTTGGTTGTCAAAGTTGAGAAAGAGAAGAATGAAGCTGAAGATTTGGTGGCAGACATGTTTATGGCCGCTAGAAAAGCTTGTGTAGATGCTTTCAAGTCAAAATTTTTGAATGAAGACTCTAAATTTTTGGAAAAAATTGTGTTGAAGAAAGGGCAGAATCCTTTTAATGAAGTTTGTACTGATGATAATGCTACTGAAAATGTATGTACACCATGCAATACTACTTGTACAAATAATGAAACAGTATAATGGTGTTGTGAAATATTTGATAAATATTCTATATTGGAAACTTTGCATTGTTACAGAATCAGTATCATATCTAATTTTCTATCCTGTGAAACACTTGTTTGAAAACAATATTCCGCAAGTTTTCTTCTGGTTCATGTTGTTGTTGGACTAATAAAATCTTGATACCTTTTCTCGAAGTTACTCTTGATAGGGCAACATATAATTGTCCATGGGTAAATACTTGGTGTTTTACATACAATCCTACCGTTTTGAGTGATTGACCCTGACTTTTGTTTATAGTCATACAAAAGCTAACTGCAATTGGTAATTGCCTTCTCTTCAGTCTGAAAGGCCATTTCATATCTGCATTGGACATCTTTCTTCTAGGAATCACAACATTATCACCAATATTTGATCCTGTATTAATTGTTGCTTGTATGCACCACTTCCCTAGATCGGTCACAATCAATCTCGTCCCATTGCAAAGACCATCTGATTGATTCAAATTTCGTAGCAACAAAATTGGAACTCCAATTTTTAATTGCAATTCGTGTTTTGGCATACCAGAGCACATCAAAGAGTTAAGGAACTCTGTTGGATATAGAATGTCATCATCATTTGAAGTCCTTGCTGCTTCACAAGTGTTGTCTGAACTATAATAGGTCTTCAATTCTGATTGTAATTTTTGAATAATGTAGTCGTTTAATTCATGAGTTGTATCATTTCTGGCTGTCAATATTGCCCTCTCTCTGATGTAATCAATATTGCCTATCTCAGCAGATAGATTTAGGAAAACAACATTCACAATTCTTTCTTCTGGATTTCTGTGTTGAGAAAGTTTCAAATCTTTAGGAATTTCTATAAAGCTTTCATCTTTTGATACTCTTGTTCCTTCACCAATTTGCAGTAACCATCTATCAAAAGTATTCAACTCATCCAATTCTGAATCGCTTTGGAAATTCTTTATTAATCTCATATTTTCTGTTAGCTTCAACACGGTGACATGTTCCCAAAGGGGAGATGAAGATAAACATGCTTGCATCACATCATATTTTTCCCCTGTGGTATAACTAGTAAAATCTGTCTGAAGTTTCCACCTAGTGCAATAGTTCTGCCTCCAAATATTCTATTAGCATTTGATAGATCTTTATCAGACAAAATGTCCCTCAAAGATTTGTCAAGTGCTTCAAAGCAATATTTATTTGCCATCGGTGCTTCATCCCAAATTATCAAAGATGTTGTCAAAATCAGTTTTGCCAATTGCATTCTTTTCTTAATATCACATGTACTCTCTTTAGTTACATCCAAAGGTATCCTGAAACATGAATGGACTGTTCTTCCTCCTAGTAACAGCAAGGCAATAATACCTGACGTCGCAACAGCGAGAACAATTTTACCTTCAGATCGCAATTTTGCTATTATTGTTGACCATAGGAATGTTTTGCCTGTTCCATCATGCCCGTAAACAAAAAACGGCTTTCCTCTTTCATTATAAACTGAATCAATAATTGAATTGTAAATGTCTCTCTGTCCATTGTTTAGACCAATGTATAGATCATCATGCAGGATTTTGTTGCTATTGATATCGTAATTCAACTCCTCAACAATCAACTTATTCTGCGTATTTTCAAATTCAGCGTGATTTGGAATTGGCAATCCATGAAAATCAGCCATTGTTTTTCTTCCTTTTTAATGAAGTCTTCAATCTCAGTCAATGCATGATTGTGTAATTGCTCTGTACTGTATCTAATCATTCTCATTCCTGTTTTTTTCCCGAGATTATATGCAATGTCTTTAGATAGTTGATATGTATTTGCTCACCACAATTCTGCTGGGTTTATGACTTCATTAAATAAAAGAATTGTTACAAATAGCTATCGTAACTGCGTTCCAGTAGCCCATATTGATGCTTCAACTAGGCAATCATTCCATTCTTTGTTATCATCCAGCAAGCCTAATGCATAACATGCATCTTTGAATGTAGGAAGTATCATTCCATTAACAGTTTTGATATTTTCAAATGATGTTGTTCCTCTAACCAAATTTAACAACATTCGCAGATAATATTTTTCACTGCTGCTTGGAAATGCAAATTAAATTCTGCCAACACATCTTCCGCCTTCTCGTTGACTCCATCTCCTTTCTTTGTCATTCCAAACCCATTTTGTTGGGAAGTCAGAATAAGTCAATGATCTCGCCTTTTCATATTGTTGATTACATTTCATCCACTTTGTAAATTATGTCTGAGTAACAACATTGCTCTCCAAATATTTGACTAAATTCTGATTTGGATCAAAGACGACTATTTGTTCATTTTCCTGGAAAGGAAGTCTTTCAACAGCTGGTTCTCTGTAGTACATATCAAATTGATATATTCTCAAGCCTCTATGGCGGAAATATATCTGTAAATGTAGTAATTGCATTTTTCAATATTATATTTATAACTAATAACAACAAATATATTATATTTTATTCTTCTATATACATACCTGCAATCAACATAAGCTTTAATTTCATCCTCCTCTGTAATATTCGTGCATCCAGAACTCCCTTCGTTATTTTTTGCAACCTATATAGAAACTTTGATTCTGTCAGATCCTTTGTTGACATACTTGAATAGATACTTGATTAATCTATGCTGGTTACAAATCTCAATGTTTATGTGACCATTGTACTTAACTGACAAATTTCCATTATAGGGAACAACAAAATGGTTGTCAATTTTGACACCTTTTTTTCTCAATAAATGCTCCAGTATCCCGCCTTCTATAAACTGGGTACCCTTCATCATCTACAGTTGTTGCATTCACAAATTTCTTTGGAAAATGTTTTTTGCATTTCCCATTCTCCATGCAGGGTGAACTTGTATTTAAATTCCACACGGACCATGGATATTGTAGTTCCCAACAGATGCATAAGCAAGAGGATCCTTTCTTTATCTGGTAATTGAACAGATATCATCCTATCAATCTTCAATGGTGAAAGATTCTTATATTCACCGCAGAGGAAAATCAATACATGTGCATGTGGGAGACCTCTTTTTTGGAATTCAATAACATAAATAACTGGGAAATATAATAGAATATTGTTAGTAATTGTTGAAATATTGTAAATTTCATATTATAAATCATAAATGAACAAATAGTTTAAAAGAAAATATACATATAACTTATAACAGAACTTACTTGCCACAGTTTCACCAAAATATTTATCATTCTTTATCTCTTTCATCAGTTCAAGCAACTTCATCTCGAACACTCTACAAACAACAGTTACTCTTCCTTCTTCATCACATTGACCAATGGCATTCTGTATATATTGTATCTCTGGCCACTTTGGATTACAAGTGAATGTAAAAAAAAAATCAAGATATCCATGATATCTGCAAATTGCCATAGCATCTTGATAATTTTGAATACGATATCGTGGGCTGCCAGTGTGAGAGGATGGTAGCAATGTACACTTGCCTATATTCTCTGCATTAACATCCCTTTTGAAATAACATCCATCAATCCGCTATACAAATCACTTCTTAATTTTTTTTTTCCTTATCCAACGAAACCTTTCCTCTTCAATAGCAATATATGCATCTGCCATGTATTGTTGCAATAGTCTGCCAGATTTCATCAAAGTGTGTCCTTCATTCAATCTATACTACAATCGAAAGGCATAAAACTGTCTCATAGCCAGTTTATGCCTTGTAGAAGTTTCTCTGTCGCCTGATTCTCTATGCTTAATGCCAACCCTGTATCCATCCTTTCCATACGAAAACAAAATTGGATAACTTAATGTCGTAAAACTAGGTTGTAAGTCAGTAATTCTTTGTAAACCATTCTTTGAATGATAAACAATGACATCCTTTCCAACATCTGATAGTCCAACATCACCAACAATTATTCCTGTAATTTCAGATACAGTTGGCAGATTATGTTGTCTTCCATCTTTTTCTCTATGGATTTTTAACTACAAGTGGAGTTCAGGAACATTATTTGATTCAATATAATCCCTAGCAAACCGAAAACTTTTAACCAACTCATTGTTCCTATCAAGCATCAATTTCAATTCTTCGATCAATTCCTTGTCAACACTATTATAAGTTGCTTGCCTTCCCATACAATTCAATTTGTGACTGATTTCACATTGTGTATCATAGATGTAAAATTATGCAAAAGTAGGTTTCTTTCCAGCAGGTGGAAGCAATGTCCCTATACGGTCACAATTTTGCCCACAAAGTCTGAAAACATATGGACCAGTATTTCTATTGATATCAGTATCAATGTCCCCTCCCATTGATGTAAATGAGAATATCGAGTTGTATATTCTTATCTTGTTTCTAAATATTTTTCCTTTAGAACCACTGTTTACATCCAATAATTCTTTCAACAGTTCAGTTGGTTCTTTCAACAGTGGTAACTCAATTTTCCCATCCATCTAACATATCGAAAATACAGGAGAAGTTATCTTTCTGCTTTTAATTGTACGCTCTTCATACCACATGATTGCCCTACAATGCTTGCAATGATAAGATGGTATACCAAACTTCAACGGTTCCAAATCCATTGACAATAGAAATAACACTAATTTTAAACAAATATCAAAGATAATGATATTGTTACACAAATGAACAAACTGTAATAATTTGTTATGTAAATATATGTCTAAAGTTTATAACTTATTGTTACATATTTATGAGGGAGTAAGCTTTAATTTAGATTTTTTTTCTTACATAATAATCAGCACCTGCAAAATTTTATATATAGTCCATCAGATATCCCAAGAAAATGAAAAGAACATAATTATATAACAACATAATTTTCCTTACCTCTCTTTCTTTTTAATACAAACATTTTTTGTATCTTCTGTTTTCTTTGTATATGCAATCATTATTTTCAGAAGAGCCTAAGCAAATTTGCGAACCTACATTTGTTTCCAATACAGATTCTGTTTCATTATTTGATACATCTACATTTGTTTCCAACATAGACTCAGTTTCATTATTTGATACATCTACAGTTGTTTCCAACACCGATTATATTTCATTATTCAATATGTCTACATTTGTTTCCAAAACAAACTCTATTTCATTATTCGATGTGTTTCCTGAAATTAAAAATAACAATAGTATAATTGTCATACTATTACAGAAGGGATAGGAAAACGATAATTGATTTATTAATTACCTCTTTTTCTCTTCGATCCAGACATTTTGTCATTCGTACTATCATCGGTTTCAGTTCTAGTGGCTTTTGTAGCTCTTTGTTGTTTCAATACAATCATTCTCAATTTCCTATTTTCCTTGCACACTCTTCTTCTCAATTCAACAGCAGTTATATTTCCAGAATCAAATTCCAATTTATAACTTTCTATCATTTCCAAATATAACTATACGTTTGTTGAAACTCCATCAGTAGTCTCCATACTATGCTTTTCCACATCAACAAAAAAAAAAAATTAGACTTGAACAATTTAATATTCACTCTTTCTATTTTTTTTTTTTAACACAATTATACACACATGCTGATAATAATTTAATACAGTGAAGAAAGCAAATAGAGATCATATCTTTTAGAATTGCCAAAAAATTTGGTTCGGCAACAACTTATGACATTTTCTATTTCTATATTATAGTTCGGCATACTTTTAAAAATAAATTTATAAATGATTATTATATAGTTATATTTAAATTCTTTTTCGGCAAATAATACAGATATAATAATGTACACCAGTTATATTTAAATCATAGGTTAGTATTACTTTAACACAATTCTAAGGATCTAATACATTGTTCGACATCCAGCATATCAAAAAGTAATAATACACCAATTAAATGGATGGACATTGAAAATGTTAATTAACAAATCTATTACAATCAAAACCAAAATTATAATTCGTTAAATGTTTACTACAACTTTATAGAAGAATTGTAGGCGAGTTTTTTTTTTTTTAATATTTTCACATATCGGTGAACATATTACAATCCTATAACTAACCAACATAATTCTATGACCAGTATAGAAAATTGCATAATACAATAATATACAAAAATTTGAAAAAAAAAAAAAAAAAGCTTTATTACCTATAAAAAGAAAAATATTGCAATAATAAATTTCAAATTATCTTCATTGATTGTATATACCTACATCAAATAAAAACAAAAGATATTTACAACACATGGACACTAATGAAAAGCACATAACAATCATGTACAAATTGTTATATATATTGCAAATTTAAAAGGTAATACATACAACATTTAAGTATTAAAATGTTAAAAGAATCAAGACCATTACCTTACCTTTACCAGCAGATATATTGTAGCTACGAAGAACAATTTTTATCTTGTTCTACAGATATAATAAGACCAAACAATCAGGAAAAGAAAAAAACAATTATCTATCAATCTAATATTGATTACATAAATATATTTATATGTATACGAAGTACATTAATTACAACAATTCAATGTATGAATCACTAAACATTTAATTTTTGCAATAGTACAACATATCAATCACTTCATATTAACATAAATACTTTAAATGTTTTCTGTTAATTTCACATTACAATAAAAACAAACAATTTTTGCAATAGTACAATGTATCAACCACTTCATATTCACATAAATACCTTGAATGTTTTCTATTAACTTCACATAAAAAAAAATAATTAACACA